GGCTGCAGCTGGAGCTGCGGCTGGGGCTGGGGTTGGGGCTGGGCCTGGGGCTGAGGCTGGTGCTGCATCCGACGCTGGGGCCGCAGCTGGGACTGGGGATGGGGCTGCAGCTGAGGCTCCCGCTGTGGCTGGGGTTGGGGCTGAGGCTGCAGCTCCAGGTGGGGCTGAGGCTGGGGCTGTAGCTGTGGCTGTGGCTGCAGCTGGGACTGCAGCTGGAGCTGGGGCTGGGGCTTGGGATGCAGCTAGGGCTGGGGTTGTGGCTGGGGCTGGGGATGCGGCTGGGGATGCAGCTGGGGCTGGGGCTGCAGGGTCCTTAACAGGATCCTGGCCAACTCTGGAGTGCAAAGGAGGGGAGGATCTCGGAAGTGTCGAGGGTGCAGGTAAATGGTCTGGGTGGGGATGTGCGACGGGTGGGGAAGCAGAGGGTAAGAGGGACTTAGGGGTGTGTCGGGGGTGTGTGGCTGAGGGACACTCAGAGGGAGCAAAACTGAGGCTGTCTGGGGCTGGCTTCCCTGTGTCCAGGTGGCCAGACACCTGCCCACTGCTTGGTTCCCCCTGGCCTCGCCGGGACCCTCTCCCTTCTTCGACACTGTTGTCCCTTTGCTTCTCCGTCTCACCTGGCCCTGAGCTGAAGAGAGAGTGGTCTCCAGAGCCATTAGCCCCAGCCTTTTCCACAATGCAGGCTGCTGTGGTCCCCTTCCCTCGGGACAAGAATGGGTGCCCCCACTCCTGCCCCTCTAGCCATGGGCCCTCGGAACCTGGGGCCTTGCTGAAGCTCCTGGTGACAAGGACATCCCTTATCACCCAGGGCCAGCCTTCCTCGGAGGTTGGGGACCCCTGAGACTCCCTGGGGGCCCAGGGCCCAGCCTCCTTGCTCTCACCAGCTTTGGTCCCTGAGTCCAGAGCTAAAACTGGGGCTGGTTGGGGGCCGCTCTTCCTGTGCCCCCTTTCTGAGACATCTGTCAGGGGCCCAGTCTGCACGGTGTCTGATAGGGGCAGCTCCTGGGGATAAGAGGAGCTGCCGGCTGCATCCACAGCGTCCCACACGCTCACCACTGTGCCCAGGCGTAAGGGGTCCAGCTTCGGGGGATGGCAGGTCCTATCTCCTGAGCTGTCATCTACCTGCCACCACCGGCTGCCTGGGCCTCTCCCCAGTGAGCCAGGTGGCCCCACTCCTTGCTGCCAGGAGCTGGTGTCCTGTTCCACTGTGTGGACCCAGGCCTGGTGAGCTGGTGCCTTGGCTCGGATGCCTCCTGCCTCCACCTGTCTGCTCAGACTCCGAGGAGTGAAGTGTATCAGGAAAGGGGCAGGTATCCCCCCAACTTCACTCCTACCCAGGAGGGCAGCGCCTGGCTTCAGATGCTCCCTTCCTTTACCTCGGGGGGCTTCCAGGGTGGCATTACCATGCTGCTGTCCCAAGGTCCCTCCGCTGGCCACCTTGTCGGGTGTCTTAAGTGCAGGTGCGGCTGTGGCAGCCTGATCACGACTTCCCGGGGGCTGCTGGTCCTGGGCGCTTGCTGTAGGCGGACTCCCCTGGCTGTGTCCGGGAGGGTCTGGCTTCTTCTGCCCTGAGCTCTGTCCCTCGATGACGCCACTGACCTTGGACTCTGGGGGCAGGGCTGGATCTGCTCCGCCCGCCTGAGAATCCGGGGCCTGGGGGTCTGTGGATGCTGGCCCTGCTGCCCCCTGGTCCTGCCCAGAGCCAAACCAGTGCAAGGCCAGTGCAGTGGCAGCCACCACAGCCAGTGCCAACAGGGTGAGCACAGCGCCGTCCCAGTCGTCCCCATCCCCGTCCCAGCCCCAGCCCCAGCCGGGGCTCTCAGGCTCTGGGGCCGCCTGGATCATGGTGCTGGGCCGCAGGTGCAGCGTGAGGAGCCAGGGTGGCAGGGTGGGAGCTGTGTGTGCCGCGTGCAAGCCGGTCCTCACTCAGGCCCGGGCTGCCTCTGCGCAGATGGCATCGGCGCGGCGCCCCGCCCAGAGGGCTGCCCAGTTAAGGTGGACCTGTGCTGGGCCACCCTTCTGCCTGGCCTGGGAGGGGTGCATCTCTGTGCCTGCTTCCGGGCTCTCAGTAGGGCCTACTGGAGGTATCAGGGGACAATCAGCCCGGGGGGCCTCTCCAGGCCACCTAGCCATCTCCCACCCAAACGTCCACAGTGGCAAACAACAGTGCACACTCAGCACAGTTCCGGCACCCCAGTCAGCCTGCTTCTGCCCAATGGACCCTCACGACCCCAAGCTCATCCCACATCCCTGACCTCTTCTGAGCCTGGGTCCAGCCTCAGGGACTCTGGCAAGAAAGAGTTACCCACGGAGAGATGTTATCTTTAGCCTTAGCAACATGATGCAGCCCTGATAAAATTACCAGAAACTCGAGAAGACGATTCCACAGTGGGTCATTTTTTTTTTGGGGGGGGGACACACAGCCATGGTGCCAAGCCCACAGGCTGGGCTCAGGCTACAGAGGGAGGCCATGCAGGGCGTGGGCCCTGACGCCAAGCACTGCCCAGCACAGACACGGACTGCCTGAGAGCTGCGACCTCCCACCACGCACTCCACAGGTGAAGTGGGGCTTGCACAGCTCTCTGCTAGGACACACCAGAGTGCTGAGGAGAGACCAAGGCTGATGCACCCTCTCCTCCAGCAGCCTCTGGACTTTCTCTTACCTGAGTTCAGCAGAGATGGGATAGTTTTCAAAGGGAATTTTCTAAGCTGTCAAGAGACCAAAATGAACGAAATAAAGAATACCCAGAAGTTGTACTTCCCTCTTTATTGGCCTGGCTTATTACAACCCATCTGGCCCTTCCGGAGCCTCCTGGGCACCTCCCTGCACCTCTAGGCTATCTTGAGTGTCTAGATGTTGCCGTCACCATGCAGAGCCCTGAGCCCAGCCTGATCCCACTCCCGCCAGCCAGCCCTGGACCTTCAGAAACCCTGATCTGGCCCTGGGTGTCCCATCTCTGTCCTCAGCCTCCCCTCCTCCCCACCTCATCACTCAGCCCCCACCCTCTGCGCTGGGACTCAGGCCACTGCAGGCCACAGCATGCGGGAGCTTCCACTGGGAAGGCAGTTGGCTGCCCCTCTGTGCTTGGCTTCCCAGAGCCCTGTCTCCTCCATCTGCATCTCACTTCAGCTGATCTCAGGAGTCAGTCTTGGGACAGGTGCCAGGTGGGGCTCAGACATGGAAAAGAGCCTGGAGTCCCTGAAACAAAGCAGCCCCCGCATACACACGCACATACAACGCATATTTGTCCTTTCTGTTGGGACACAGGACTTCTCCCTGACTCAGGCAGTGAGGAGATGGCCAAGGAGCGTCCCTGGCACCCAGCCTAGGCTCTGCTGAGCTTCAGGTACCTCACGCATCTGGTGGCCTCCTAGCTCCCCGAGATATCAGATGACAGGAGGAGGGGAGAGGGAGGCCCATGCCTTAAGGTGGACCTTAAGTTGGGGGTGAGCTTTCAGGACGCCACCCTAACTATTCACCCGGGTCCGGTCTCAGGCTCTGCGTCTTGGTTAAGTTAGGGGTCCAAAGACCTTGAGAGAATGAAGATGACATCCCCACACACCCCCCTTACAGGCCATGCAGTGCCACATCAGGTACCTGCATCCACCTTTTGAAGACCCCTGTGGGCTGTCTGAGCCCCTGGCTGCATCAAAGGAGAACTGCACCCCAAGTGACATGCTGTCATGAGGAGGGACCGAACACATCAGCCCTACCACCTTCACAAGG